GGGTGATAGGTAAAACTCGGGAAAATTAGGTATTTGAACTATGGCTCTCAGAACACCCCTACCCCTGCCAGTGTAGCTGTTGTCTGGTGACTGTGCAAGGAAACAGACCAGAAAACAGAGGACTATCTTACTGGTATTTGCTTTCATTTCATTGTTAGAGAGAAGGTGTGGTGACTGTTCTGTGCCACACAGGAGCCAATGTAAGACAGCTCTCTTATTAGTGGTAACAAACCAAAGGCACTGAATGGCTCTTGGGCAGGTTGTGGGTATATTTAAAATGTTTGTCTCTAGCTATTAGGCCTGTAGTCCATTTATTAGCATCCCGTGATACAGACATATTCCCGTGCAATAGAATGAATGTTAATGGAAGGGATTTCTTGACTCCTGTGACGTCTCTGGAACAAGAGATGGAATCAATTAATAGCTTTGGCTGTCCATTACATACATCCTCAATCGTCTCCTTATCTTTTCTCCTCCTCCTTGTTCTTTTCCTGTGGAAAAATCCCTGCTGAGACAGATAAGTTACATGTCTAGTGTCCCTCCAGTTTGCCTCTACCAGTGATGGTTAACCTTTTTGAGCCCGAGTGCCCATACTGCAACACCAAATCAACTTATTTATTTCAAAGTGCCAACACTGCAATTAAAACCTGAGGTTTTGGTTTAGAAAAAACAACAACAACTACTTCTGCATTGCAAGGGTTAGATGCTTATTTGTTTTTATCTTATGGGGGCGGTATTAACAAAGAAATACTTACCAGTCCTCCAATCCCCAATTGGGCTAGACTGCTAATGGTCACCATTGCACTCCTCTGCTGGACCACTGCACCAGCAGAGGGGAGTGGCAAAATCCGGGATCAGAGGATGGGTAAGTATTTCTCTGTGGTGACTCTGTGTGCCAGCTGTGGGCACGCGTGCCATAGGTTTGCCATCACTGGCCTATACCCAGACATGTCATAACAGGCAGTGATAGCTCAGTGGTTGAAGTATCTGGCTGAGGTTGGGAATTCCATTCCCCACTGTGCCTCCTGTGAGTAGAGGCAGCCTGTGTGGCCTTGGGCAAGCTGCACAGTCATAGGAAGGCCCTTGAAGAAGGGGACGGTAAATCACTTCTCAGTAGTCTGTACCTGGAAAACCCTGGAAATGGTTGTCATAGGTCAGAATTGACTTGATGTCACATGATTGTTTTAATTATATGCTATGGGAACCACCTCCAACTCCCTTAACCCATGCTGAATCAGTGCTGACTTCTCCATGTGCAGTCCTCCATCAATCTTAGGTTAACTTTGAAACCATCCTAATCTTGGCAGCATTGTTATGACTCCCTTAACCCATGCTGAATAAGTGCTGAATTCTCCATGATGGCAAGCAGGTGCTGTCCTCCGTCAAGCTTAGGTTAACTTTAAAACCATCCTAATCTTGGCAGCATTGTTATTAGGGACCGCCGAGTTCTGTGCGCACATTAGGGCACACCTTTGTTTCTGTTCATATGAATACTAGCTTTTGCCCTGTTTCTATCCAGCATTGGTTATTGTGCCTTCTTCACCACCAACCACTGCCTCTGGGCTTCAGGCAACTTGGTCTTTAGAGCTAGAAATCCCAGGTTTGTGACAAAGCAGTGAATTATGTAGGGGTACCTGGGTGAGAACAACCTAAAACAAGGCCCTTGCTTCTTATCTTTGCTTCTTTCACATTGTGAGGTGTGCACCAGAGAGTTGCAGATCAGAAAGGCAACCCATTTACATGTCCTTTCCATTCCAGTGTGACTGGACCTGGCCAGTGGACAGAGGCAGAGGAGAAGTCTGCCACCACTTCAGTCCAGAGATTTAAAATGAAGGGAGGGAGTCAGCTGGGAACTGCTGTGGAAGCAAGGACAGCTTCTTTGCTGGAATCTACTCTTGTGCAGACTTGACACTGCTTCAGTCAGCAACACATAATTCTGTACAAAAACATGCCCTTGGAAAAACATTCCAATATTTCCTATTGCTCTTCTGCAAATTGATCTAGCAAAAACTATAAGCAGCATGTTGGAAGGACTGGAGTAATCAATTCAGCAAGATTTAAGAGGAAGACACTAGAATCTTTATTGATAAGATACACAGTGATAATCAGTGCATGGTTTATTATTTCCTTCCTTGCTGTTGCCCTTACTGCTTTTTTCTCATCTCCATGGGGAGAAAGCATGCTGACATGCCAATTTTTTGACGCCAAAGCTTTTTTCCTAAGAATCTCACCAGTATTAGAGAAGGGTCTTTTCTCTTAGGAGGGTGGGGAAACATATGGAAAAGGTTGTTTTTATATTATTTTGTCAGATCACTGAGGACTGGGAGATCTAAAATGATCCTTGAAGGAGATGGTCTTATAAAGGTCTTTTTCCTGCAATCTATTTTTGATCGTTCCTCTCCTCTTCCTTTATATACCACCCCAACACTTGGCCATTTGCTCTTGTTGATACAAGCAATGGAAGCATTAATTTTGCTTCTGTTCTTAACTGTTGAGTTGCAACTTCCTTTAAGACATTAATTTCCTTATCCCAAAAGAAGAACTAAGGCCAAAGATAATAACTGTCTTAATCACCGAAAAATATTATTTTCCTACCATTCTAGACCAGTGGTTCCCAAAGCTGAGTACCAGATGTTCTGGGACTAAAACTCCCAGAAACTTTCACTACTAGATATAAAGTACAATGGACCCTTGACTTACAGATGGCTTGACTTACAGACTTTTTGAGTTACAGACTTCTCTGGCAGCAAAATTTAGGTTTGACTTGCAGACTGAGATTTGACTTACAGACCAGAAAAAAACCAAAATGGAACAAAAACGGCCTGTTACAGGATTAATCATCACCGAAAAATATTATTTTCCTAGCATTCTAGACCAGTGGTTCCCAAAGCTGGGTAGCAGATGTTCTGGGACTAAAACTCCCAGAAACCTTCACTACTAGATATATTGGCTAGGATTTTTGAGAGTTGTAGTCCAAGAATATCTGGAGACCGATGACTGGGAACTACTGTTCTAAACCAAATCCAGCCTTTGAAAAGATAAAGAACCCTGATCATTAGGTCTGTATGACTTTTTGTAGAATGGAGAATAAATTTTATGTTGAAGCAGTTAATTTTTTTTATTATAAATACACTCACTGTCTGATGAGATGTTGGTCTTCATTTTTTAAAATTCTCAATAGCCCAATATATAAAACAAAAGGTTTATGGATTGCCCTATCTACTTTACCAAAATATTACATGTAAAATAATCTACTTTACATCAAAATATAAGAAAAATAACATGCTAACCTTGCCCCAGTGCAATGTCATTTTTATTGCTCTTCTCCCATGGAAGATATCCATGAGTAGATGAGGCTCTTCCTTTCATGCTGTTGCTTCCAACACATGGAAGGGGTTAGTGCTCTGCTTCTCACGTGTACACTCAAAAAGTAAATTGTCAGAGCTAGAATATACACTTGTAGAGAGAAAACATTCCATGGAGACAAGAAAAAGACATTGAATGGTCTCAGTTGGGTATGACTAAAATAATGGAAACGGTCTCTGGGACGTTAGGATAGGCGGGAAATAGAAGTGGGAGTTGTAGCAAAACTGTGCATTCTATCCCAGCTGAAACTTGGCCTTCTTAGCCCTTAACTATTTTCCAACACTGAGATAATTTCTGTGTAAAGACAGAACAGTATGTGGGTAACTGTGCATGTGTGCATACTTCTACTTTTTGAGACTGTGCTTCCCAGCCCATATACAGCGGCATCCACAAAACATTTCACAGAGAATATATGCATGGTTTTTCTTCCACATGGTGGGGGGTATCATGTAAAAAATAGGGTAGAAAAAAGTATGTCACAAGACCAGAAAATGCTTCAAATTAACAAGATACATTGCCTGGAAATAACGGATTATGTTGTAAGTGTCTGTCACTAATATATGCATTTCAGAAGTTTACAGAAACTTGTATTTATTTAAGTGCAGTCAAAATACAGAGGTGGATCAACCAGTAGAGACTTCTAGGAATATCGTCTGCCCCTCCTGTCATTGATCAAATATTGAATGAGACCTTGGACAGAGAACATTACAGAGACAGGCCATATTCTTTTGAGAATTAGGAATTTGCATCTTGTTTTCCCTCATCAGTTGTATTCAAAGGAACCTGGTATTGAATAAAGTCTCTGAAAACACATTATTTCAATAAACTTTGCCAGGATATAATTGTTAAATGAGAGGAGTTTGAACTCACCTCATTCTGAAAGCTATATTCATGCCCACTCTCCTACCCAAAAGCTATTCCACTTTTCCACAGGGATGTAATACAGCAGGGTTGAAAAACTAGTGCCACTGCATATACAGCTGGATTCTTTACTCCTGTCCATTTCAACCAGTATAGCCAGGGACCAGAAATGATAGGGAGTCATGGTCTATCAACATCTAGAGAAACACCGGTTCCCCACTCCTGTATAGAAGTATTTCATCTCTTTGTGCAGAGTTTTATGCTCAGCTTTACTGCGTATTTCCTTTTGATAAATGCTGTGGAAGATCCATCACAGAGAAGAAAGGCAATGACAAACTGTGGTCCCTCCAAAACTCAGTCACCAGCTGTCATTGCATTTTACACTAGAACTGTTATGATAATCCCTACCGTAAGAATTATATATTCATACATTTCCTGGGAGCATGGTTATACAAAATGGCCCTAACACAGGATTTGTTCCTGTTATCTTGTTTCAGAGCATGCATTCCCTGAGTTGCAGAAACGTAGGAAATTAATAGTACAAAGAAAGGGAAAAACCTCTCATATAATACAGTAGTGTTAATAGGGGACACAATTTGTCTGGATACCATACTCTGTAGCTTATTTAAAATAATTATTAAAGTTGTTTTGCATATAATCTTAGTTTGGTTCCAAGTTCCAGTTATAACACTGCACCCAAGAAAAAGGGTGGAATGTTATATTCACTTCCTCCTCCTTTATGGATAAACATGTGGCTTTTTTCCTTAACTTAGGCTCACCCATGACATCAGCCTTGAAGAGTTTGAGGATGAAGATCTCTCTGAAATTACTGATGAATGTGGAATCAGCCTGCATTGTAAGGACAGTTTGGCTTCACGGGTAAGAATACTGGTGCTTCCCTATTTTATTGATAATGCAAAAATCATTCCTTCCCAGGAAGCAGGAGACGGATGCCATAAATCGTTCCTTCCCAAGCTAGTAGTGCCCCGATGTGTCACAGTACAGCTTTCATCACGGCACAACCAGCATGGCTAATGATTTGCAAAAGACTTCACGGCGTAGTAAAACTGTGAAGCGCTTCCCATTAATGTTCCATCTTGACAACATACCAGGCCCCAGAAGGAATTATATATGTATAGTATACACATGATAGATGGCAAGATGGATGTTGTTAATATGCCATGGAGTCTTTGCAACTTATAGTGCAACTTCTAAGGGTTTTCGGGATATGTAGGGTATTTAGGGAATGGTTTACAATTTCCAACCCCCCCCCCTCAATGAGTTTCCATAGCTGAGGGGAGATTTGAACTCAGGAGTCCTGAAACTTAGAATGACACTCTCTCCATTGTGATACTGTCTATCACAGATAGATAGACAGAAATACAGACACAAACTCATGCTTGCTTGTACATCTATTTGTGTGTCTTGCACTACTCAGACAATAACTGTAGCACTGTCTCAATCTAATGTGTTAAAGAGTGTAGCAAGCCTCCTTGGGCTTATGTCACCCTGAGGCAGTGTCACTGCAAGGTATTCTGCCTTCACTGCACCTGGGGAGCATCCAGGCCTGAAGCAAAAGCTGGTGTTGATGCTATTCCGTGAATGCTTATTAAGCAAGGCTCCGTATAGGAGGCTACATATTGGGACTTATGTTCCCAGCTGTGGATCAGGGGTTTTTTCTTGATTGATAAAGAACTTACTTTTTCCAATTTGGGAGAAACTCTCCTCATTCTCTGACAGATCTAGGGAGACTTAAACTAGGGACATCTTTTTATGGGTGGAGGAGGAGAGCAGTTAAATCAGTACTATCCTTGAATATCTAGTGATAACCTTAACTTAACTTTCTTCAGACTGCTAGGGCCTGTGTTGTATTTTGCAGACCAGATTAGCCAGTTCCCTGATTTTAGAAGGTGCTTTTTACAAAGACCATCTCTTATTCCAAACTGTATCCCATGTACTTTATATTCACATTTCACACATTCATAAAACATAATGGATAGTTTCTATTCGGAATTTGACAAAGCTTTTTGGGCTGCAACTTTCCAAATGGCTACTGACCATGCTGGCTGGGAAACTCTGAGAGCTGCATTCAATAAAATAAAACAAAACAAGTAACTTTTCTAGTACAGTTCCTATTTCCCATGGCAGCTGAGATTCAAGACTGAGATAGATGCTTTCATTTGGAGGCCCCCTCCCCAATCTCAGGTGAGTATACCAAAACTGTAATTAGTGGTTAGGAAAGGCATTCTGTGCACACTTAAAGATGATTCTCTTTTACTTTTACAGTTTCCAAAGGAGGAGAAAATTATTGTCTTGGAGGGCTTTGAGACTCTGCCTGAAGTCTTATTTTAGGGGTTTTTGTCTATAGTTGGATCAGTTTTTGCATTGAAAGGCTTCCTGTGTGGAACCTGCTGTGATATTGGGGCTACATCATGTATATCCTCATCACCACTGTATGGTGGCACCACCTCCAGGTTAAATTTCCTGCAACCTTCTATGAAGGAATCCATTGAAATAACTTGTTGGAACCTCTGGAATAGGTGCAGATAACTACTCTGCTAGCACTGCAAGGCTGATGGGAAGTAATGTAACCCAACAGCATGCTTGTAAATTAGCTTCATACCATATATCTCTGTATTATAAGGGAGGGACATTGCATCTTTGGGCAATCTTCCTCAGCCTGATGCTCACCCAGATACATTAGACTACAGCTTACATCATCCCCAGCCAGTGGACATGAAGTGCCAGAGCATTCAGACCACCAAAACGTTAGTAATTTCTACTAAAGTCTGGTAGAAGAAATGGAACAATTAAGACTCGGACCACACGTTTTCTGAATAGTTTTTATCCCAGAGCTATAATAGCACTTAATAATGAGCTTAAAGACCACCAGTAGCGAATAGTTAATTGGACTGTGTTACTTGGCCTGTGGTGTAGATGTTTATATTTTTAGTGGGGACTTTTAGTGGGTGGGGAGTGTTGGGGGATTTTTTAGTGGGTGGGGAGTGTTTGGGGAATTTTATGTCTGTGCATGTGTCTGGTCTCTGGGTGTCTGTGAATTTCATTGTATGGGTATACAGTACTGTGTATATACTTACAATGACAATAAATAAATAAATAAATAAATAAATAAATAAATAAATAAATAAATAAATAAATAAATAAATAGTAATTGCAAGGGAAAAATTGTAGGCTGTTGTGTTTTTTTGATAGCTTTCCAGTAAAGCTTGCCTACCAGCATCAAATATTACATGGAATTTTGAGGAAGCCTAGGCAAGGTTCAAAGCAGCAATTTGAAAGCTCTTTGAAAACCACAGGAGCTGGTGGAATGCTAGAGTTTTAAAACCTCATGGTTTTTGACAACAAAGGCAGAAGAGTGGTGCATTTATTATTGTATGCTTCATGCTGGAGGCAAGAAAGCTGTGAAGATATAAAGAGAAGCATAGAAGATCTTCTGTTGCCAGAGGAAATGTGTTCAGTAGAAATGATACACAGAGCATTTCAGACCCCAGAGGAAAAGGAATTAATGGGGAACTTCCAATTAACACATTTGAACTTCAGAGTTTGAAACATGCTGGTGTGAAAAAGCCACAGTGTTCTGAGATGAAGCAGAAAAAGTCAAATGAAGAACAGTAGAGCTTCCAAACATAGACGGTATTATTCTTAAAGATTAAATTTGATTTTAAAAACATCTTATATGATGTTAGCTTCACACAGCGTACTTGAACACTGGTACACAAATCTGTTGTGTAATCAGCCACACGGCATAGATTTAATGAGAAGGGAGTACAGAAAGATAAGAGAGTGATTACAGCCTCAAAGAGAAATCCCTAAAACACAAAAGAAAAATGGTTGAACTATGAATTAATAACAGGCAAAAAAATAAAATAAATGCAAATGTTTCCTGAAGGGGAATTACTTCATGGGGTAGGAAGGAGAGAGTTTGGAATTCAGGGTGTATGAAGTCTATACAAACAAAACTTGTTTCAAACAATGGCATAGATATTTTAGTTAAATGTGTTTAAAAGGGGAAAAAACTAGCTATGAATCCAATTTGCAGAAAATACTGGAGGCTGTCCCATAAAGTAAGTAAATCACTGAATATTTTAAGCAGAGCTTAGAAATTTTCCTTTTTTGCATTACAAGCAACTCCCAGAAATTTAAACTCAGGATGGCCAGATGTAGCAAAAAAGTAATTTTTTAAAAAAAGTAACTTTTCACAGCTGTCGTTAAGTCACTGGAACAGGAAGGCCTTTGAAGATATTACATAACAGTTCCTTTTTTAAAACTAGATATGGGGTGCCTATGTTGTAGATTCTGCTGATGGTATCCCGACAGAGAGATTAAATATGCCTGGCTGTTTAAATCTTCCTTCCCCCTCCTTTTTTGTTGCTCTTGTTGGACAAAACCCAGAATTTGTGTGCTGCTCCAGGAGGTTAGATGAAACTGCAGCTGGAGGAGCCAGACACTAGGGTCTGTACACATTGGCATATAGATATGGTTATATGGATCAATGATGGCACAGTTTGAATTGGGGGGGGGAAGAGACGTCATTTGTACGTAACTGTTTCTACTTAAAATGATCCATCCTTCCGTAGATAAAACTGCAGCTGGAAGAGCCATGACACTAGGGTCTGTACACACTGGCATGTAGATATGGTTATATGGATCACTGATGGCACAGTTTGAATTGGGGGGGGGGGGAAGAGACCTCATTTGTAACTGTTTCTACTTAAAATGATCCATCCTTCCATTTCTGACCCAGCAGTAAGGCATGCATTCTTTTTGGCATGCTCACTGTTTAGCCTGCTTAGCTGGGAGAGAATAGCTCCAACACCCTCAGTTTCCAGCTGCCATCATAGCTGCAGAGTGAGAAGGTTGGGGGTACATGAGGGAAGGGAAGTGAGGGGCAAGGGGAAAAGAAAATAGGAAAGCACCAACGGAGGAATGGCATTTTAAAATATCACTTCCCCTGTCCCTCCACAGACAATCAAAGAAGTGCTTAATCTGGTCAGCTGATCAGGCTGCAAGGAGTTGTTTGGTCTTCCAACAGGAGGCGAATGGCACATTGCTGCTTCCCCTGACCTCAACAGATGCTTTGTAGCCTCAGACACCCCACACCCAAAACAGCCAGTCTAGACAGGCCCTATGATACCTTCTTTGTTTCACAGGTATTAAAAATACAATCTTTAAATTAACAACTGGCAGCTGAAGAGGAAGAGACTAGATAGAAGTTTGAGGGCCATTACCTGGTGTGTTTGGGATAGACTGGCCTCTTTCCAGATAGTTAGCAACAAGGTTCCCTCTAAACTGTATGCGTGCATGCGTGCGACTCCACCTCCCTCTATGCCGCTTTCTTCCTCTACCACACAGCGTTCATGTTCAACCTCTTTGGTTCCGGTCACAATGGAACACTGCAAGCATGGGGGGGACAGAGTATCGCATGCATGTAGGGGTGAAGCTGGGCAAAAAATTGGAGAGTCCATTGGTTAGCAATTGAGATTTATTATGAGTGAGCATCTTCAGTTATTATTGAAATAAACTGAGTCCTGCTAATTTGTATTTAGAGAGGGTGGGACAGAAGATGGCATTTTAAATCATATCACATTGTTATCGGGAAGTATTTGTTTGGTTGTAAAATGCTGATAATTCTAACATAAGAGAAATTTAGCAGGGGGGGCAGAAATAGAGCTAGAGGCAGTGCTATAATTAGAGTTTAAAGCACATTAATGTTGCAGAAAGGTAAATGAATCTGCCTTTCCAAATTCTTGATATCAGACTTAGAAAGAATCCTGTAGTTAAATCCTGATGGCCAGTCTCCAAAGAAAGCAAGCTAATCTGTGTAATCCCACAGGTGAGAGAAGCTTGTACTGTGTGTG